TTGAATTGTTCACTAAAGATTAATATGAAATTTGATTTCGATGATATTTAGAGCATGTTATAATAGTTTATGTGTTATTTTAGCTCCTGAAGGTCGTCGTTCATCGGGTTTAAATGCTGTATGGATTGCTCGAAATCGATTTGCTGTACTCGATAAAAATCATGTTGTAAGTTGGAGATATTTCTTTCAAATAAATAAATATATTTTTTTTGTATTAAAATAATTCAGATTTTAATAAAGAATAATAAAAATGAAATAACAAAAAAAATTCAATTAGCTAATTGTGATGAAATATTTTATGCTGGTACTGGTCTTATATTAATTCGTGAAAATGATCATATTAGTTTATATGATGCTCAACAAAAACGTTCATTAGCAAGTGTAAGAGTTGGCAAAGCTAAATATGCAATATGGTCAAATGATATGAACTATTTATCATTATTATCTAAACATCAACTTGTTATTTGTAATCGTAAACTTGAACAATTATGTATTATTCAAGAAAATATATCAGTTAAATCAGGTGCATGGGATGATTCAGGTGTTTTTATTTATACAACATCAAATCATATTAAATATGCACTTATTAATGGTGATCATGGAATTATTCGTACACTTGATTTACCTATTTATATAACTAAAATCAAAGGAAATAGTGTATTTTGTTTGGATAGAGAAGTTCGACCGAGATTATTAAATATTGATCCAACGGAATTTAAATTTAAATTAGCTTTAATTAATCGAAAATATGATGAAGTACTTCATACGATTCGAACAACAAAATTAGTTGGACAAAGTATTATTACTTATCTACAGAAGAAAGGTTATCCTGAAGTAGCACTTCATTTTGTAAAAGATGAAAAAACAAGATTTGGTTTAGCACTTGAATGTGGAAATATTGATGTAAGTAAATAATTTTTTTCGAAATAAATTTGAATTTTTGAATTTAGATTGCATTAGAAGCTGCTCGAGCTTTGGATGATAAACGTTGTTGGGAAAAATTAGCTGATATTGCTTTATTACAAGGAAATCATCAAATTGTTGAAATGGCATATGAACGAACGAAAAATTTTGATAAATTAGCTTTTCTTTATTTAATTACTGGAAATCTTGAAAAATTAAGAGAAATGATGAAAACTGGTTTGTGAAAACAAATTTTGTTTTTCGTTAATTTTATTTCAAATAATATCTTTTAGCTGAAGTACGAAAAGATGTTAGTGGACAATTTCAAATAGCTATGTTATTAGGTGATGTTGATGAACGTGTTAAACTTCTTCGACAATGCAATCAAAGTAAACAAAATTTTTTTTGCTTCGTTAATAGAAAAATTATTCAACATTTTCTATAGAATCACTTGCATATGTTATGGCAGCTACGCATGGTCTTGTTGAACAAGCTGAACAATTGAAAGAATCTCTTGATGATAAAGTAAACTATTTTTCTTCATCAGAAAGACACCTGATGACTTTTAAGTCCCTAGACTTCCCTTTATTTTGGAGAGTGGGTAATATATTAACCTGTCACCGACACTTTACACACATGATAAAATGAAGTAGGTGGACATATGAAGAATAATAATCTTTATTTATCTTAGGTTCCTGAAGTAAATCCAAGTGCTGAATTAATTTTACCACCATGTCCAATAAGTCAACAAGAATCTAATTGGCCATTATTAAATGTATCTAAAGGATTTTTTGAAGGTGTATCTATAAAAGGAAATCAAACAGTAGCAACATCTGGTTCATCAACAACTACAGCGTCTAAATTTGATGCAAATGTTAATATTGAAGAATCAGCAACAACTGGTGGAGCTTGGTCTGGTGTTGATGATTTTATTAAAGAAAAGGATCATGACAGTCAAGATGAAAGTGAAACAGGTGAAGGTTGGGGTGATAGTGAACCTGAATTACCAGCTGATCCTGTAAGTTATTTAAATTTTGAATAGTGGAAATAAAAAGAAAAATATGATTTTTTTATAAAAATAATAATAGAACGTACCTGATGTAGCTGGTGATTTCTTCGTAGCACCAACGAAAGGCCAGTCAGTTCCACAAATGTGGGCAGAAAATTCCAAATTACCTGTCGATCATGTATTAAGTGGTTCATTTGAAACAGCAATGCGTTTATTACATGATCAAGTTGGAATTGTTAGTTTTGAAGAATATAAACAAATATTTCTCCAAATTTATTCACGTTCACGTACAGCTTATACTGCATTACCATCATTACCCGCACTATATGCATATCCATTAAGAAATTGGTTTGTATTTTCTTTTCTATGAAAAATATTTTTATTTTATTCTTTGAAGGCGAGATGCACATTCACCAGAATTATTCTTTCCAGCTGTTGGATTAAAATTAGAAGAATTAGTCGGACGTCTTCTAGCAGCATATCGTTTAACAACAAATGGTAAATTTCAAGAAGCTGTTGTAATATTTCGTTCAATATTATTAACTGTTCCATTATTTGTTGTTGAATCACGTCAAGATATTCTTGAAAGTCAACAATTAATTGAAATATGTAAAGAATATATTGTTGGTTTACAAATGTCTATGGCTAAAAAAGATTTAGCTAAAGATGATGAAAAACGTTCATGTGAATTAGCAGCTTATTTTACTCATGTACAATTACAACCAATACATAAATTAATGACATTAAGGTCTGCACTTAATCAAGCATTTAAACTAAAAAATTACAAAGCCGCATCACGTTTTGCTAAACGTTTATTGGAATTAGGACCAACACCTGAAATTGCTCAACAGGTCTTTATTTCAAATCTTTTTCTTAGCTTTTTTTTATCAGGAAACAAATTAGTTAATATTTCTTCTCTTAAAGATAGTTAGAAAATTCATCTTGAAACACTATCGCTCTGCTTATATTTCATCAATGATAGGAAGCCTATGCGTTTAAATCTATTTACATTGAAAGAATCCAAAACAATATAGATTTGATTACATTATGCACTTTTTTTCTAGACATAGAAAAATGTTTAATACTCTCGCCAAATTATTCTTTTCAATCTTTTAATATCTAGAAAAGATTCTGTTGTGAGACTGAATAATCCCACTTCAAAAATAAAAAAAAACAAATTGCAAGAGTAGACAAAGTATTAAAATGCTTTTTAAGGTGTTCATTACTTTATTGAATGAGATAGTACCTGATGTTTTCTCACAAGTATTTTTAGAATCAATCTTAATTAGAAAATTTTCTTATGAATTCTTCGTAATAATTATTCAATCGATTAATATATATTTATCAACATCTTTCGATTATTGCACTATACTTATCCTTAATTCGTTTATATTCGGTAGCTAATAGATGAACTTCCCTAAGTCATTCAGTTATTTCTCCTATAAGATTAAAATCTAGTAAATATGATTGTTATATATTTTGTTTAGACTCGAAAAGTATTAAGTGTTTGTGAAAAAAATCCAATTGATGAACAACCAATGAATTATGATGAATATAATCCATTTGATATTTGTGCTGCATCATATGTACCAATCTATCGGTAGGAAAATAAGATTTTTGTTTTCTTTTAAATAATCGTTGAAATTATTATTATTTAGTGGAAATCCAGTAGTGAAATGTCCATTATCCGGTGCAGCTTATTTACCGGAATATAAAGGACAATTATGTCGTGTAACAAAAGCAACTGAAATTGGAAAAGAATCTCTTGGTCTTAGGATTTCAATGAGTCAATTTCGTTAAAAACGAAATACAAAGCCGAACATTTTATTTTATTTCATTATTATAAACTTTTAATGGATATATTTATCACTTTTTTGTCTGTTTTACATGAAGATTGTTGTTGTTGTTGTATATTCTTCATTTTTTTTTCTTTCTTGAGAGTGCGGGTGTGAGAGAAGAAGAGATACCCACACTAACACCCTCAAAATGGTGGGCGAGATTATTCTCTTATCCATTACCTACATTCTCAAGTACGCTCGTTTTTGAGAAATATATCAGTAAGAAGTATAGAAAAATGCTTTAAAATATTTGTTTTTGAAGTGGCGTTCTCAAGATACAATCAAATACGAATAAAATAATATTTAAAGAAGAAAATTTACTATTACGGTTATGTTGACTTGTCATATATTATGCTCTCTATATGTATTATGAACTATTCACCTAGCATTTACCTTCAGTCCGACATACTCCATTCATGTTTTCCTATATGTGACCGATTGACCTTTGTCTGTATCTATATAATGCGTATGCAGAGGTCACTTAGAGGCAACTTCACTGTAAGCTGACCTCTCTTTAGCTGCCTATTCGATAAAAAAATATATTTGTAGTGATGAACTATAGCCATATATAAATACTATACCAACTAATACAGACAAACAATCATTCCAATTTATTCAAGCTAAATAGTTTTGAGGTATG